TATATATACAGTTCCTGACCTTCAGCTGTTTGTTTTGTTTTGTTTTGTTCATGGTTGTGAAGGCATATCGTCCAATTAAGTATTGATTATTTATACAAATAATAATTGACTGACTGTAGAATCCTTACTACACACCTTACTTCATCTGCAAATTGAAAGCAGAACATACATACAGTATATAAACTGACCGCTGGCAGTGTCATCATAGTCATAGAAATAGTAGCAGTAATAGTAATCCTATCAGCCCCGGTAGCAGTAAAACCTGGTGGTTGTGGGTCCTACCTGGTAGCTGGTAGTCCCCAGAAATGTCGGAGGGGGGCTGCAGCAGAGCGGACCGGCGGTAGACCACGTGGACCCGGCCCTGGTGCTCCAGCTCCTGAGTGCCTCGCTCCAGCGGCTCGATGAAGTACTCGTCTGCGTCGGTGCGGATCATCCCGGCCTGCAACACAACACCCGGACAATGAGCGTGTGGAACCACGCTGCTCTGTACGGAGAACTCTGGCCATCAGACTTCTTCACATGCTTTCCCTTATCAACCGTGATCCATTCAGCACCGGCAGATTATGATAACAAGGTCACACATCAAGATGATGATTCCACTGAGCTGCTGTAGATGTATGCAGCAAGGATTCATTGGGACTGAACAGACAACACACCGACACCCGAAACAGACGCATTAAATAGATGAAGAGACATGCTAATGAGATATTTAGTCATTTATTCAAGATTGTCTCTATGTACTAATTTTCTGCTTAAATGTATGAATGTCTCTCCCTGTGACCTCGCTCCATGTTGTTTTCTGTTGTTTACCTGCAACGTACAATCCGTCTGCAATTACCAGCCGGTTACCCGACAGCAGCAGGCGGCGATGAGAAAGCTCCACATCGTTAGGGAAGGGAATTGCTTCGTGATCGCTACCTGCCGCCGTCAGATTTCCTGCAATGCGAGGCCAGTCATGCCCGTAGTTTAGGGTGGGATGTCTTAAAGGATCCCGCTGTGCGCCTAACAAGATGATGAACAAACAAACTGATTGATCCAAACGCGTGGTAGCGACCGACGTGTAGCACTGCAGGCAACACTTTATAATAACCATCGTTAGTGCTCGAGTTGATAGTTATTATACTGTCAACACACAATGAAAGGATTCTTGTTGCACACATTATTACATTTTATATTCAGCGTGAACATTTTTTAATGATATCCACGTTATTAACATTTAGAACGCCGGTTAAGACTTTATTAATGGTTAATGATTATGACTGTCTATGAACATTATCTGGATGCTTTTATAAAGTTTCATGTAATGTTTGTAGATGTTTTGAAATTAATTTGGTAGTCATGAACAGAGACTTAATATAGAATATATGATGTTATAATGTGCGCAACAATAAAATGTCAATATGATAGTTTACCAATGTAATCAGAATGTAATCGTTATTGTCTCGACAGCTTTGATATAATGTAGAATTCATAAACCAATTAATATTACACAAACTAATGATAAAATAATGCCAACTACACAACTACTACGAATGTGTACAGTTCTTACAAAATGCAAATGAAGTCAGAATGCAAATAAAGCCTCGGCCTTGTGTGATCTTTTTGATTCATCGAGGATTTAAATGCAAAACACAAATATGCACGATCTGCTCGTCTGGGCCACGCGGCGCTCAGATCGCTTCGCTGCGACATTCGACGAGACGGGAGGAACGTTGACTGAACTTAATGTCCAACGGTCACGCTCAGCCTTTAGAGGGGCAGAAAAATAAATCAAAATGCCACTACTGTGCACCTGTGTGCAGACAGAGACACCTCTCACAGAGCTCCAGAGGAATTTGTTCCAGCTCTCGGTCGGGCCGGTCGGCCCCGTCCTTCACTGCTGCACCTCGCTCTGGCCTCTCCACTAACACTCCGCCGGGCTGTGCACATATGGAGCTTTGCGACCGACACGCACACTGAACTCCTTTCCAACTCCCATAGTCCCCAACCAACCGAACACCCCCCCTCTCTCCTCCTGTTTACACGCACTACTGGCTGCACTCCAATCTCAGTTCTTAACTTAAGTCTGCATGGAACTTTGAACCCGTGGACAGAATATTCATGTCCTGAGGTGTGCTGCACATAGTCCAACAGCCGAGCGTGACCGTTGGACTTTTGGGCATCCAAATGTCCAAAAGACATCCTAAACGTTTGTGCTGCTTGTTTGGGCTGTCCTTGACCAAAGACGTTCTTAGTCGACTTGTACGATTTAGTCGACTAATCAACCTTCAATCGACAATTCACACTAAAGCACCGCTCTAAACCTTGTGTTTAACAGAGATGAGCTTCTCTGAAATCAGTCATTCAGCATGAAAAGAAAACATGAATAAACAACTAACCGACGACAGAAATCTCAGTGGACTAATCGACTGAGAGGGGGGACCCTTTCATAATGTGGCCATAAAGCTGATGTAGTCTGATTTATTCAAGTCCAGGAGGACCAGGGGTCTGCACCACGAAGCAGGATTTGGGATCAGCGTGGTGACTTTAGGGTCGACGCCTTACCGGGGTAGATCCCCGTGGCAAGAACAGCTTATGTTTGAGACAAGAGATCAACTGGAATAAAAGCACCGCCTACTGCCCAATCAGAGCTCGGTGTGCTGATCGTTAGATGATATCACAGCAACCGGGCTCGCAGCTGAAAGAATAAGACATTATAAGATATCGTCATATACGCTATAAGAATACAGGTAAGCAACGCGTTCATGTAACAGAATGTAATTACAGTCAGACTCATCATACCCTAGATGAGGCAGTGATATCACTTTAATCTACACATTCAGTCAGTGATTTATTGCCAGCTTTATTTCTTTTGCATGTTTAAACTGTTACTTTGAGCCTGGGTTGTGTGTTGAACTTCTTCATATTTGTCTAATCTGGTTTTCTCTTCGGTTGTAAAATATGCTGCTCTGCCGACAGCAGACTTCTCCATGTTTGTGATTGGTTATTTGTTACAAACTCCGCCCCTTTATGCGAACGCGCTCAGAGCCAGATTGAGGAACCCGGGGTTGATTTACCGAGTTCATAACCAGCTTCGTAGGAGTTAGTATTCTGACCGGGTTATGGTGCTGAAATACGTCACGTGGCAGCATCGCTGGGAGCTACAAACTGAAATTGCATCAAATGTGTTGACAATGCATCTACTTCTATCTGCTATGAACCACGATTATGTGTAAATGTATTCATTTACTCGGTCAAACTGCTGCATTTACATTAAATGATAAGACAACTTGCCCTGGAGGCGAGGACAAACACACACTGAAACGCACCCTGTTGGGTTTGCTAGTAAACAAACAGTCGCTGACAGTCAGACTTACGGTGAAGGTTGCTATGAAGGCCACATGTTGCTTTTGCAATGGAATCACAAATAAACCTTGAATGTTTGTTAGCGATTGTTAGATACAAACTGAGAGAAAATCTGAATCAAAAGGGACAATTTGCTGCAGGACATTCTGTTTATATTCAGATGGAGTCTGGAGCTGACAGCTCTGAAGGCAGCTAGAGGTCATCACAACAACACTGGACGTGATGAATATAGAATAAGAAGGATTTAGTGACCTTTGACACGTCTTCCTCATCAAAGAGAACCGCGTCTCTCACAAAGTCATCTCGATTCCTTCTCATCTTGATTAGGGTTACATTTTTAACTAACAGGTGTCACCATGAAACTCCCCCAGGCGATTGCTGACGTCAAGACAATTCTTTTGTTAATTGCAATTTTTCTGAAGTGGTATGTTTAAATATGCAAATGAGGCATTGTCTTATTAAAAATGTGCACATATTTAAACGTTTCCAGAACAGAAATCTGAACATTGGATAAAACCGCAGGTTCAAAATTCTTGTTTCAGTTTGTCGACATATTGGAGTCAAAGGTTTTAATGGAGGGAATTCTGGATTTCTCTTTGTATCAGTCCATCAATTAGAAAGTACTGTCAACAGCCATGACATTTTTTAAAATAAAATGTTGCATAAATCAGGCTATGAATGAAATATGAAGAGACCCTTCTGTCAAAACCTTCAGACTATAGAGAGGAATGGAACTGGACAGTTTGGCGTCTGTGCGAGCTGCTGAAGTGGAGATCTCTGAGAAAAAACTCATTTAGAGAAAACGGCCTTTAATTAAAAGAGATGTTTTGTAAATGTGTATATACATTTTGAAGGGAATAGGGTAAAACAAATGAACTAGACATCACCATGACATCTTTCTGAAATGTTATCTTTAAATATGCAAATGAGGCATCCTCTAATGGTAACTTTTGGTGAATTTAGGAGAAATCTACAGACGCAAATAGACAAAGTAGGAAGATAAAAACTTTAATGTGTATTTTGGATGTTTTCCTTCCACTAGTTTTTTTTCAAATGGCACATTGCTGCCATAAAACTCTTCTTGTCTTCTCGTCAGATGTTATTAATGCATAACAGACAAATAAAAACAAGCATATTGTTGAAGACGTTCACGTGAGGGAACATTTTTTAACTAGTCTTGTTGCCTTGTTACCTTTAACATGTTTGCGGCAGGGATTTGCTCCTCTGCTTATTGTTGTTATTCTGACACCTGCAGGCGTCGCTCACATCTACAGATTAAACACTTTCTGTATGTCGGCCTATGCTGTCCGGCTGTAATGCCATTTGCTTAGCGATGCACCAATTAAGCTACCGACTTCCTCACATGCACTAGTGTTCGGAGACAAGCTGCAGGAAGTCTTCTTGGCATTACGCCCCAAAAACCACATCCCGCCTTCTCCTTCATCTACTCTGAGCTCATCTCCCACCTCGACTCACTCGCAGCTAAACAAATTCACCTCAACACTGGCATGTTGACAGCGGAGGCAGACGGAGGCGTATTTTTGAATTAAAGTCAAATTGAACGTGGCTGTCTTTTATTCACTTTGTTCCAAAAAAGAAAGGTCAAAGGTCTCAATCAGAAGCATCTGAGCCTCCAGCAAGCTTCAGTGTAGGATCAACTGAGACAGAATAAAACCACCAGAAGACTCAGACTCATCATAAATCAGGGCTCAGACCTATCAAAGCGCCTCTGCGGGCGGTGGAAGGTGGGAGGCCATGCGAACACACCGACAGATGGTTAATTGGATAAAAATAAAAGTTGTGAATCCGTCTGGTGGTGCTGCTTTACTCTCAACACCTTATGAACTATCTAAAGATGCCACCTTCTTGTTAACACACGGCAGAGGCAGACATGGTGAGGAGTCCGGATATAAAGATGCAGCGGTGCACGTAATGAGACGCGGAGCTGACTTTTAGACGCTGATTAAAAGCTGCTCCACAGCGTGACGCACAAGACTGTTTAGACCGGATCAAAGATACGACGACTAACACTCTCAGTGAAAGAGCCACTGAATGGTGCCGCTTCAAAAAATAAAAAATATATATATATATATA